AATCCATTAGCGCATAATAAGAAATTAATTTTGAATTAATTAATTGATTTAAAATTTTTAAATTTTAATGGGGTGTACTATGTAATGGGTCTGTTATACAAAAAATACAAAACTTCAATTTCAACTTTCATTCAGAAGCAACAATAATTAATTCTTCGGAATTCAGTTTTTTTTTTTCCTGCGCAAAACTTTTCCTATGCGCAATTTATCCTGAAGAATCATCGGTTTGAATCACTATTTCATGAATTCGCGCTTTGATTTCGCCAAACGGTTGTGCACGTGTCATCAAATAATAACAATTGATCTCCTGACTTTCCATTGTTCTCAGATCTCAACAGACTCCTGGATTATGATTTTTATGCCTCTGTAAATTATCAGATGTATTTTAATGATTCACGTTTATTCTGCAATTACGATTTTTATTCCCCGCTGCGTATGTTCCATTGTTCGCGTACTGACCCATTCGGAATTCCGCAGATCGATGTTTCATTTTGTTAACTTTTGTTAAGGAGCTGAATGGGATTTTTTATGTGGGATTACTTATTCGATTTCAATTGCTCGATGCAGGATAATAGGAAAGGTCAACGAACGACAATCCTTTCATTGTCGCAATCAATTTATTCAGCGGAAATTACAATAAAAGGCATATTTTTTTAGAAAGTTCTTTACCGCGGAAGGAAAAATAATTCATTAACAAAGAAATTTAGAGAAATATCTCTGAATCTGAGATAAAATTTTTTTTGTAGAAATCTCTTTTGTTGATCTCAGTTCACCCTACAAAATTACTTCTGAGAAATATTTCAATATCTCTCTCACATATCCCGAGACATTCTTCTATGCCCTTCATCTTTTAGCAATTAAATTTTTTTCTCATAGAAAAAATTGTTTCATTTTTTTGAGATTGAAACAAGACGCTTTTTCCATTCGGCTTGCCCTGAAATTAAAAGAGCGTAAGATCCAATTTCCGTGAATATTTTTCATGGTTCCACAAACCTGTGAATAATTTTTTAAATTATTCGTTAAAACAACCGATTTTTTTTAAAGAAAAAAGAAGAATTTCCGGGGTGCAAAAAAAAATCAATCGTTCTCATCGCTAAATGTAGTATATCTCCTGACCAAACGTATAACCCTGACCTAAGACTCGACTCGGCGCGATATCGGCCGAAAAAATGTGCGTGTAAAGGCCGTCTCCTCGACTTCCCAAGCCGAGACTTCCCGTTTTCGTGATAAACCGCTCAACAAATTAATCATTTTTTTTCCTTCCATTGCGAATGAAGAAGGGCCTTTTGAATGCAAATAAGAGTCGATGAGAAACTGCCGAGAAAAGTGAATGCAATGCAAATACAGAGGATGAGGAC